ACCAACAAGGAGACCACAACATAAAGATAAGAGACAAAGAAGATGAGCAGAGACTGAAACTACAGAGAATCACCAGATGAGCAGTGAACCACCGGCCATCGTTAATGGAACTTCAAAACGGAAAGATCCTTTATTTTTTAAAAAAGTAAATAGTGTTAGCTAGATTTTTTCCTTTTTGCAAATGTTAAGTTTATTTCATGCAGAAAATGTAGTTAAAGACAAGTTGTTGTTATTGTTTATACATGGACCTTTTTATCAAAAAAATAGTGTTATTTCGTGCTATGCACGGATCAATTTGTCTTCTCTTAAATTACTTGATCATAATTTTATATAACTTCCACTAAAAGTAATTGTTTTAGTATAGCATTCTACAAACATCATAATTTTATATAGGAAGTAATTGGTTTAGTATAACATTCTACAAACATCATAATTTTATATGACTTCCACTAAAAGGAATTGTTTTAGTATAACATTCTACAAACATCATAATTTTATATATAACTTCTACTAAAAGTAATTGAGAAAAAAATAATAAATCAAAAATTAAATAGGAAAATAAAATAGTTGGAAATCGTGATTAACTGATTTTGAACATGGAGTTTGGGAAAATTTAGGATAGAGTCACTGAAAATTAAGGATAAGAATTTCTTCACTAGATTATAAACAAAATATTCTAAATGTCATAATCACATTGTTTAAGTGACTTGTATTTTATTATATAAAGGATGTATATATGAACCACTAAACACAAGATATATTTGTTTGGAGCATGTTATCTAAAATGTATATATTAATGACTAAAAATAGTATGTAAAAAAAAAAGACTAAAAGTAGTATTCAAAAAGAGAATTCGGCCAAAAAAACATCAACTTTGCACGAATTGCCAAAAAAAACCTGTACTTGAGTCTGGCCAAAAGAAACATGAACTTTTGTTGACTTTATTAGTTTATTAAGAAACTTACGATTGACTTGCCATTTTAACACACCGTTAACGAGCAGTTAAGACGGTGTTAACTTGGACGTTAATTGTTAACCTTAGGATGAAACGACGTCGTTTCAAGCGATATAAAAATAAAAAGACGTAACACCCTGGAATCGAACCCAGGTTGTGTAGTTCAAATGGCAAGGTAGTTTACCACTAGGCTAGTGGCACATTCAATGTAACTACTAACACGTTCACTTATATTTGGTACTGATTGAATAGAAAAAAAAATCTATAAAAACTTTAAAAAATATTTAAAATTTCAAAAAATGAAAAATAGAGAATTTTTTATAAAATTAAAATTAAAATAAATTTTGTTTTTCTTTAAAAAAAATCAAACGGGTACTTATAAAATTTTATTTTTCTTTCAATATATCTATTAACACATTTATTTATATTTGGTACGGATTGAATATAAAAAATTCTATAAAAACTTTAAAAAATCTTTAAATTTGCAAAAAATGAAAAAATAGAGATTTTTTTATAAAATTAATTTTAAAATTCAAAAAAAAATTTATTTTTCTTTAAAATAAATTTTGGAAGATTTTTGATTTTTTTAAAGAAAAATAAATTTTTATTTTCATTTTAATTTCAAAACTAATTTTATAAAAAAATTCTTTATTTTTCATTTTTTTGAAATTTTAAAGATTTTTTAAAGTTTTTATAGAATTTTTTTTATATTCAATCAGTACCAAATGTAAGTAAATGTGTGAGTAGATACATTGAAAGAAAAATAAAATTTTATTAGTTCCCCGCTGATTTTTTAAGAAAAATAGAATTTTATTTTAATTTTAATTTCAAAATTAATTTTATAAAAAAAATCTTTATTTTTTCATTTTTTGAAATTTTATAGATTTTTTAAAAGTTTTTATATAACTTTTTTATATTTATTCAGTACCAAATATAAGTAAACGTGTTAGTAGATTCATTGAATCTGCCATTAGCCCAATGGTAAACTACCTTCCAATTTAATCCAAACAACCTGGGTTCAAAACCAAGGGTCTACGTCTTTTTATTTTCAAATCGCTTAAAACGACATCGTTTCATCTAAATTTAAAACGACGTCGTTTCATCCTAACGTTATCAATTAACGACGTTAATTTTTTCTGTTAAATTTGCTGACGGCGTGCCAAATTGGCAAGTCAACGAAAACATTGTTAATTAATTCTAAAGTCAAGGAAAAGTTTATGTTTTTAATATCAGCCCAAAAGTTCAGGTT